GTGATTTAATTACTTCATCGTGTTCTGCAGAAGCCTGTAAGTTACTCAATTAAAATCAGGTGTCGGAGCAAAGAAACAACTAAAACATGCAGGATGGTGTTCCTCAAGGACCTGGGTTGGGAACCCTTGGCTTAGACTGTGTGTTCGAGATGACTCTCAGCAACTACCACACCAAATCTTAGCTCATTACCCATAAAACTGACTGAGTTCAAGCCATTTATGCGTTTGGGAAGTTCAGTTGGCTGTGGCGGCCATCTTGAATTAGGTTGACTATAAAAGTTAGAGCTGTAGTCGTTTATCCACTTGTTGCTTCTTGAGTTTCATTAAAACCCATCCAGTGGTTCTTGAGATATTTTGCTAAAAGGCAGATAATGGTTATGTTTTAAAAACATCTTGTGTGATCTTTTAGAGCTTGTGTTGGAAATGACTCTCAGCTACTACCACGCCAAATTTTAGCTCAGCATCTGTAAAACTAACAAAGTTATCAAATTTGTGAAGTCGATTAGCTATGGCGGCCATCTTGAACAGAGCTGACCCCAGAAATGAAAGAGTTGTAGACATTCATCCACTTATTACTTCCTGAGAGTTTCATTAAAACCTGTCCAGTGGTTCTTGAGATATTTTGTTAACAGACCAGAATCCACCAAACAGAAAACTCCAGCCTATTAGAATAATCACACTTTTGTTGTATAATTAGATAAAATGACAGTGGGGGGGGGGGGGGGGGGCGTTTTGTCTGTGGCAGGTCTGCAATTAAAAGTCTAAAAATGTTTTTTTTTTTTTTAAAGCAGAAATCTTTCAAGCCCTTACCAAAACAATAAGTCATAATAATCAAAAATTCTTGTTCCTCGTCTCAAGTGCCAAAAATCCTAAAAAAATAGGAGTGCGGAGCTCAAACAATGAAACCTCTTCTTCCACAAATAACAGGGGTGTTCACCCATCTCCTGATGGCTCAATAAAGAGCTGAACTCTGACCTTTAGGCCCCGCCCCTTTCATAATGGAAAGAGCTGCAGCTGTCCAAGAAGCGCTTCAACTTCCTGCTTGAACCTTATTTTCTGCTTTTACAAACAAGCTACTCCTCCTCCCTGTCGCTTTATCCGGTTTCAGCAGACAGTTAACGTGTCCTTAGATAAAAAAAAGTGAGGGGACCCCGTGCTAACAAACAGGTGCGTTTGTTTATCTACGGAAACAATTGAAGTGACAGAAAATAGGTGAACAATGGCGCCGTCCATGGAAAAATCTGTTTGGGATTGAAAACCCCGACAACTGTGATGAGTTCCTGTGAATTTACGCTCAGATATGTCGAGTAAAGTGCTTCGTTTACACTGAGTGCAGACCCGCATTTCAGAATTACATATCAGCACATCCGAAAAACTACCGTAGGAAATGCTTTCAAACTGCTGCATTTGATATATATAGTACAGGGTAACTTTTTATGTCAGATTTCATACTTTAAAATGAGTATATTTAAGTTAAAATAACAATAGGTGGTGTTGGGTCTTCGTTATTACGTTTTAAATGTTTTTTTCTACTTTTTGAAGGGAAAGGGATTTCTCAGCCCAGTTTTAAAACAAGTTCCTTTCAGAAGCAACAACTAAAAGTTGTCTTTTCAACGACTGAAAGGCCAAAGTGAAAGTTTATTTTTATGTTTTTATCCCTTCCAAAAGTCTTAAACAACAAAGGTTTCCTGCTTTTTGTTTTTTTAATTCAAGTGTCTTTTTCCATTGTCTTCCAGTTAGCAACTTAACTTGAGAAGTAAATCAAAATAAATAAGTAAATAAGCCACTTATCTTTCAATTTAAGGCTTCAAGTGTCTACAACAATTCCTGAATGTCATTTTTTATGTTTTGACTTCCAAGCGTCCAACATTGAATCTTATTTTCTTCACTTCTGTGTCTTGAATTTCAAAATAGTGTCTTAAATATAATTTAAAAAAATTCCTGACGTCTAAGTGTGTTAAATTTTTTAAATAAAGCTACATTTCATGTTTCCCGAGTTCCAAGCATAAAACAAAAACTGTCCTTTGCTTCTTTTCTTTTCTCGTTTCCGAAGGTCTTAAACACATATTTAATTTATTTAAGCATCTCAAATTGTAAATTAAAGCTACTTTTGTTATATTTAACCCCCCGAGTGTTTGAAATATAATAAAATAAACTTCTTTTTATTATTTCTGAAGTCTATCTTGAATTAATCGTCAAAAATGAAACAGAACTAAAGCTGCGGACGTAGAGTTTTGGTCGTTAGTACCAGTTTAAATACAAACAGTGTTGAGGACGTGGTTCGTTGTTTTGAAGACTAAAGGTTCGGCGTGTTGGGTGGAGAAGATGAAGACGGAGAGAACAGGTGGAGCATCTGAACGCTTTGGGATTAATGCGCTGCTAAACGACGCAGAGACGCTTCATCCTCATCGGATCGTCACGCGTTCTCCACACGCTAAAAGCTGCTGTCAGGGAGACACTTCAGGCTGAGGACCGCTGACAGGTGTGTGAGAGAGAGAGAGACGGTGGGGACAGAGGGAGGGAGACAACTGCTGTTGGTCTGCTGGGAGCAGATGTTCAGGATCTCTGGAAACTGTTAATAGCTGCAGGATCTCGTTACGTTTAACTCTTTAAAGGCCAAAGTTTCACCGGGGACAAAAAACGTCCCTCTGCGTCTTCATTACCCGTCCTCTGCGTCTTCATTACGCATCCTCTGCGTCTTCATTACGCATCCTCTGTGTCTTCATTACCCGTTTGCTCTGCCGACGCCGGAGGGAGTCGGTGAAATAATAACAGCAGCGCTGCTTCCTTCAGGCGTGCGCGTCCAACTTTGCCTGCGTTTATCTTTCTGTTAGCAAAATATCTCCTAAACCGCTGCGTTAGTGCCAATGAAACTCTCAGGAAGTAACAACTGGGTGAACGTCTACAACTGGTTAACGTTTGAAGTCGTTTTGACTAAAAATGGCCGCCACAGCTAATCACCATTAGCCAACACACAAAATGCTGTTAACTGTGAATTTTAAAGATACTGAGCGAACATTTGGAGTGGTAGTAGGCGAGAGTCATCCCCAACATGTTGCAAGAGCAAACAGATTGCATGAGGTGTTCCTTTAAAACTTTGTAACGAATTATAGGAGTCACCCCTTGTCTGTTAGCAAAATATCTCCTGAACAAGGATGGATTCTAATGAAACAGAGTAATCAATGGGCATAAATATACAAATGATTAACTTTTGGACCCAGTCCAATACAAAATGGCCGCCACAGCTTATCAACATTAGCACACACGATTGAGGATAAAGTGGTCATCTTCAGAGCTGTTGAGCTGAAACTTGGTGTGGTAGTAGCTGAGACTCTTCTGCAGCACTTTTAAAAGTTAACAGGACGTTATTAAAACTCTGCCACGCAGGGCGGCGGGCGATATGCATTCCTTTAATTAATGCCAGTTTCATTTTTACCAAAACAATTTTTATGCATATTAAACTTGATCTTCTCGTCATTTTCTGAAGTTTTGTGAGTAAAAAGACGTAAATATTTTTAATGTCTTTGTTTAAGCTGTGTGTGTTTCAATTGTTTCCCAACTGAAAACAGCAGCTGCTTCCTGCTCGGCGTGACGGCCGGAGCTAAACGAGCCGGCGAGCGGACGCGTGTCAGCGCAGAACTCAGTTCTGCACGACGGTCCGGTTTGGACGCGACCCCATGGTTTATTTTGGTCAGTGGTTTGTGGAATGCGACCCGAGGAGGTTCTGTCATCGCCCGTCCGGTCACAGAAACTCACAGCGAGGAGCGTCGTCGACCCGCGACACCATCCGGGAACAGAACGGGGTCGGAACGCAAACAGCTGCAGGCAGAGTTCTGCTGCTTGGGTCAGGACTTCAGGGTCGGATCGATCCACAGATCGACACCATCAACAACAACGCTGGGATCTGATCGATTTATTTAAGTCTAATGTTTCGGAACAGAACGATTAAAGGTCAAGGTCAAGATTTCTTTATTGTCGTTCGCATCTCATGTGGTACATGTGGTGGAACAAAACTGTGCACACAGGGTCCCAGTTACATCCAACAAAAGTACAAGTATTAAAGATAAAATATTTAAAATCTAAAACTTATTTTCCGTTTATGATTTTAGACACTTCATTTTAACAAAATGTCAAAAACAAAAACTAAGTGCAAACTTAGAAAAAAAAAGGTCTTTTCAGCAAAACATACCGTGTGAATGAATGTTAACGAAAAGCACAAAGTAGCGAAGTATTAGTTATACGTAGAAAAATACTAGCTAAGAGTAGCACCAACCTAGCTCAAAGCACAAAAAGGTTAGCAGAAAGAGTAGCTAAATGTAGGAAATGTCTGGCTGAAAGCTAAAGCTGAATAAGTCTAGCTAAAAAATAAAAGTAGCAAAAGGCAAGCTAAAAGAAGCACAAAGCTAGCTCAAAGCATCAAAAGGCTAGCATGAGAAGACAAAAACAAAACCAGTAGCTGAAGCAGATTTAAATAGAATGTTTCTGAAGTAACTAGATATATTTGTCCAAAAACTTTTTTTGATTTTTCCACCTGGATTATTGAGCATGCATCAGGATAGATATATTTTTGTTTCTACATGGAAATATTTGTAAATAAAGAGAAATATTTAGAAAAGTATTAAAATTACAGAGAACTAAAGTCACAGCGGCTTCACAGCAGCTGAATGAGCCAAACGTTCTGATGCATGAACGGCTAAAAAAGCCGTTAAGTCTGCAAAGTTATTAAATTTCAGGAACCATAAAATAAATAAATAAATAAGAAAAGTAAAAATCATTTCCTGACTTTGTACTGATTTAACTTTTGAACAAAACTTTGTTCAGAACCTGTTCTGGTTTTCTAACATGCAAATAAATCAGCTAAATTATTAAACAATGATGAAACATCTGTACACCCAGCACCGTTTGCTTCTATAAGTTATAAAACTCAGGTCTGTGGTTCTGATCCAGGTTCTGCAGTCCTGTTAGCGACCCTGACCCTCGGGCGTTTACGGGTTTCTCACCTTGATGCCCCCCATCCTCTGCTCGCCCTTGAACTCCTTGCCGTTCTTCAGCCAGTGGATGGTCGGCATCGGGTTCCCGGCCGCGGCGCAGCGGAACTTGGCAGTGTTGGCCGCCGGGACGGCCAGGAGCTTCTTGTCCATCCGGTCCGGTCTGGTCCAATACGGTGCCTCTGTTGGTCCAAATGAAAATGGAGTTAAAACTGGTCAGATTTTGGTAAAAATTTGGAAGTATATCTACTGCAGTGTGAACCTTATTCAGTCATACGCACCTCGTGGTACATGTGGTGGAGCAAAATTATGTACACAGGGTCCCAGTTACACCCCAAAATATAAAATGAAACAGTATATAAGGATTTAAGATATATGCTAAACGAACGCCAAACGGTACGCTGAAAGATCCAAGATGTATGCTAAACTACACTAAATGGTCCTCCTCCATCCTGCATGTTTTAGATGTTTTCCTGCCTCAACGCACCTGATTTGAATGAATAGGAGGTTTTGACCCAAGGGCAGCAGGAGGGTTAACTTGTAATGATATAGTGAGCAGTGTTGCATGATCCGGGTCCCCGGGGGCCACCATCCTGCATGTTTTGGATGTTTCTCTGCCTCACCACACTACAGGTTGTCAACTTGATGACCTGCTGAAGACCAGGGAAACATCTACAGGAGAAAAATGAGAATATTGTGAAGAGGTTCAATATTATAAACTCCTGTGTCACCCTGATCAGCTGATTAACTCCTGGACATGAGCTACAAAATGTTTCATTCCTGAAGTCCAGCCACTCCTGAACCCGAGACATAAGTGTCTTAACTGCTGAGGAGACACAGAACTGGACTGTTGCTCTGTGGTCCAATGTCTTATTTCAGGTGGAAGTACATTTTGCACGTCAGTTAAACATCAAGGTCCCAAAGTCTGGAGGAAGAGTGGAGAGGGCCAGAATCCACGTTGCTTTAAGTCCCGAGTGAAGTTTCCAGTCAGTGATGGTTTAGTGTCATGTCCTCTGCTGGTGCTGGTCCATTAGGTTTTCTGAAGTCCACAGACCAGGTAAGACGTTTCTGATGTCGTCTCTGGTTGAGGAGTGGCTGGATTTGAAGAATGAGACATTTTGTAGCTCATGTCCAGGAGTTAATCAGCTGATCAGGGAGTGACACCGGGAGTTTACAATGTTGAACCTCTTCACAATATTCTCATTTCCTGAGACACTGAATTTTATTTTTCATTATTTTTAAGCCATAATCATAAAAATTATAAGAAATAAAGGCTTGAAATATTTCACTCTATGTGTAATGGATCTATACGAGTTTCCCTTTCTGACGTGATTGACAAAAATATTTAACTTTTTCTTGATAGTCAACTTTTTAAGAATAAAACCTGTAAGATCGTGGTCCTCCAGGACCTGGATTGAGCACCGTTGAGGCAGAGACACCTGAGCTGCATGATGTTTGTACAGACAGTTTTCCGGGGGGATCAGCGTGAGGGAAAAGGCTGCCTTTAGCTTTTTAGTTAACGCACCTGTACTGCTAGCTTAGCATTACATCAGTGCCAACAGGTGGGGCACAGCTTGTATAATGTAGGGGAAACACTGGAACTGAAACTATTGTAAATATAATAATTATTGTACATCTGGTAACTCTGCTTAGATGCATGACTGAAGGTTTGACATGCAAGGTGGTGGGCGACAGGCATTCCTTGAAGGTTTGCCTTTATTTTGAATGAATGATGATGTTTGAGTGCATTCTGAATGCTTTCTATCCCCTTAATGAGAGATGATCAGTAACCACCAACAGGTGGGTCCAAAGACCTTTTTAAGACATTCAGTACCAAAAGAAAAAGGTGTTTTTGGTTTCAACCGTTGATATAATGAAGTCTTTTTTACATTTGAAGTAAACCGTCTCCGATTTCAAGCCCACAGAGATACCGTTAGTTTCAGGACGCTAAAGAGGTGAAAAACAAGGTTTGACAGATTTTCAAAGACCATAATACCGGTGCCTGAAGCGTCCCGAAGGTGCAAACAAAACTCATCATCTTCTCAGCCGGACAACAATACCGGAGTTCATCTGAAGAGAGTTTGGAAAGCTGTCGGTGAGATTTATTGAGTTGTATTGAGGAGAGTTGGAACAAAGCGGGTGCAGCCGGTCAGACAGGCTCATTGTTGCGGTTGTGTGGCTGCAGAGAGCGAGAGCGGCGAGGCATGGCGTGCTCACGCTCTTTCTCAAAGTCTCTGTGTGTTTCCCAGAACAAAAGCTGTGGGGGGGTTGACCGGTCATCATATGTCTCCATTCTCCCTCTCCTGTTGGGGGAAGCGAGAGGAGCTAATTACCATCCGAATAGCGGCACTTGTGTGCGTGTTTACATGTGTGCACTGGAGCTGATAAACTGGGATCAGATTGAGTAAATTTGAGCTTCAGCGCCACAAGTGAAGGAGAGTGAGGGGAGTTCTGCTACTTAAAGACACAAATGTCTTCGTCTCCTGTTTCTACACTTCAGCTTCACGGAATAATTAACCACTGGAGATACAGGAACCATGCTTCATGGCGGTGTCTCACCAGGCTTCAAGGATTTGGGGGAGTCCCCTGAATGTCTCCAGGGTGTCTTGCATCGTCCTTGCATGAGTCGCACTTTAGTTTTAATCATGTTCAACAGGTGTGTGCTGCAACTTTCATCCGTCGTCTTTTTTCCAAGTTTAGGGAAACTGGATTATATCTCGAGCAGTCATTGTGCGAGAGGCGGGGGACACCCTGGACAGGTCCATCACAGGGACTCAGAGACAAAACTGTTGACATGCTCACCTACACCTAGGAGCAATTTAGAGTTGCCAATTAATCTAACATGGATGTTTTTGATCTGTGGGAGGAAACCAGAGGAGTTGGAAGAAACATGTAAACTTGACCTAGGAAGGCTGGGAGATGAACCTGCGACCTCCTTATTTACAGGTGACACCCCTTAATGCTGCTCCACCGTGCCATCTGCCACCATCCAGGTCCAAAAACAAGCTGATGATAAATAATTGAACTAGTCTAGATCTCTGTCTTCCATGTCTAAACTTCATGTATGTTCATCTCAGTCTCCATCTTCTACTGCTTAGTTGGGATGGGGAGGCAACAGGTCCAGGAGACAAACCCAGTAACACTTTCCTGCTAGTGCTGGGGGACCCCAAGGTGTTCCCACCGAAAACAAACAATCCCACAGAATCCCTCCGAACAAATTCTGGGGCTTCCCTGGGGCCTCCTACTAATGGGACATGCCCCGGAAAACCTCTAAATAAAGACATCCAGATCAGATGAACCTCTTCAACCTTTCGATGCGAAGGAGCAGCAGCTCTACTCCCGAGCTTCCAAGGAGGACGGAGCTCCTCTGCCTATCCCTCAGGCTGAGCCCGGACAGTCTACGAAAGAAGCTCAAATCGGCCGCTTGGATTTATTTACGTTCAGTAGTTCCTAAACGTGGTGGGTGTCTGCTGAGGCCGCAACGCAGTTTTGGAGTTGTGCGTGTTGCTGTCCTGTATCATGCCATTGTGGTTCAGTTCCCGCCCCCCTTCCAGACTCGGACTCAGGCTCAGGCCTGTAACGTCGGCTGTATCCAAGATACTCCATCTGCCTGCACGGATAAACTCTATGAAACATTTGTGTTTCACGAGGAACTTTGGATGTTCTCTGTCTGCCAGACCAGGTTCTGGAGGGCAGTCATCGTCTGTTGCTGCAATCGTTATTATCATCATGCTGCTAACAAGACAACACCGCTAACAGAACCCCTCTGCTAATAGGACCATGCTGCTGTAGACGCATTTCTTTTTCTCTTTAGGCACCTCTTTTTCCGTTTTGTTGCATGCATTGGTGTTTCTTGTTGTTGTTTTGTCGAGTCGAGACGGTTCTTCTTGTCCTGAGCATTTCATTGCATTGTTGACCTTGAATTGAGTTGTATATGACAAATAAACCTAAACCTTGTATTTCACATTCTCTGGTGTTTCTTCTTCTTGTGTTTACAATTCAAACCACAGACAGTCCACTATGTTTTTAATCCACTTGAAGAGTCCGTTTTATGCTCCACGCCTTGTTTCCTGTTTTGTGGTGTGTTTTCAAGGCAGTGTCACATCGCCACCTACAGGTCTGGCATAGTTACTGCAATTTTTTGAGTTGTTTCCTTGTCGTGTTTATGAGGATGCATTTAAAAATGACAAAAAAAATGTTTAGGGGAGAAAACAATTTTTCTTGTGTGGACAGGGCCTTAGTGATGACTAAAATAAATAATCATACAAGGAAAGATGGGGCTACCGAACTCAAACAGAAATCTGTGTGTAGAGTCAGACTCCCCAGCTTGTAAAGAAAAACACTCCCCATGTGCAACCATAACACACACACACACACACACACGTGCACAAGTGCATACACACACCTCCCCCTCGTGAAAGTGCATACACACACCTCCCCCTCGTGAAAAGTGAAAACCTGTTGGGTTTTATTGCTTCCCCTGCCTACTTGTCTCTGTAGTTAGAGTCTCGCTCAGCGTGGGACAGCGACTCGTGACCGGAGGGAGTTTCAACAACGGTACAGAGAGAATCTAGAGAGTTAAAAACACTATCACCCTGTATTCCTCTGTCTTTTCTATAAAATAGCTTGTGAACCAGGGGGTGACATTTTAAACAAACTTGAAGAAAATCGTCAACATTGACTGTTGAGATTTTAGAGCCAATTTTGATCTGACTCGGCTCAAATCGCTTCTCAATGCAAGATGATTTTAGTGTGAAACCAAGGTATGGAGGGTGGCAGGTGATCAAAGAGACATTTAATGGTTTATTTTAACACAAACTATATAAGCCACGTGGATTGGGTTGTAATTTTTAGCTGTTTTTGAGTTGTTTAAGCTTATTTGATAAAATATACTTTTGAAGAATAAATATGAGATAAATGATAATATTGTTGCTCACAGTTTGGTTTTAATGCCCCTCAGGCTGCAGGGAAACAAATCTCATCATATTTCTGTTATTAAATAACGAGATTAAAGTCTCAGCAGGCGTGTTCATCAGCCTGGCGTCTTAAAATTAAAAAAAAAGACTGCAATCTGTTTTTATTGAGTAAAATCTGATTCAACAATCACACTGTTCTTTTTACTAGTTCATACATTTTATTTCTGTATACTTCACCCAGTTTAAGCTGTTCATATTACTAAACCTTTGGCTGATTTAAAAGATGGCTGCTATGTCTTTTGGTTATAATTTTTTATACTTTTCAAAATATTTTCCTTTATTTGCAAATACTTTCTACAAAAAAAAAAAAAGACTTCTCTTAATTCCTTCAAAAACAGGATTCTCTTTAAAATCTGCTTCAGCTAATCACTCAGTTTTTGGTTCTTCATGCTAATTTTAGCTTTGAGCAACTATTCAGCAAATGGTAGCAGCAGCTTTGGTAATTTTAGCTAACCTTTTGCTACTTTTAACTTTTAGCTACCACTTGGGCATTTTTAACTAGTCTTTGGCTTGTTTGCAGTTTCAGCAGAGCTTTGATACTTTTTGCTTTGGCTAGCTTTTTATCGTTTTTGGCTAAGTTTGTGCTACTGTTAGCTAGCCTTTAACTACTTTTAGCTTTGAGATAGCTTTTTGCTACTTTTAGGTAACCTTTTGTTATTTTTAGCCGCTAGCTAACTTTTTGCTATTTTAAACTTTTATTTTGTGTCTTTTAGCATGTTCAACATTTACTTTTTTTGCTGCTAGTTAGCATTTTGCTATTTATAGCTAGTTTTGGCTATTTTTAATGTCTATCTTGCCTTTTAATGCCTTTGTGTTAATTTTGCACCCTTTGTTATGTTTAGTTAGCTTTTAGCTTCTTTGGACAGTTTTTGTTTCCCACTTTTAGCTTTCACACTCTTGCAACGCCTTTTATTTTTATTATTATTAATAAAAGGTAGATGTCTGCTTCTTTTAGCTAATGTTCTGCTGTTTTAGCTTCAACATCTTTGTTTCAGCTTCTTCTCACTGCATTTTCTCAGAAAATGTAATTTAGCTTACATTTTAGCTTCTTGTGTTAGCTGATCTCCACAGTTCGACCCTGCCGCCTTCTCTTCACTTTCCTCTTGACGTTTAGCTGCGTGTTAGAAAGGCCTCCCTGTTTTATCTTGGCCCCGCTTCAGTGCTTCAACAGTTTGTTTGTGCAGAACACGCTGCTGCAGCACAAGCTCCCTCAGTGTGGAGACGCTGCGAGTGAAGGAGGCCGTTCAAATCGTATCATTAGAGCTCAGTGACGCCTGCGAGTTCACAGATTTCACTCCAGATAACACCGGGGCCCTCTGAAGGCACGCCGGCCCCAAAGGGCCCGCAGGAGATCACAGCAAACAGAACCGGAGCGGTGAAGCTGTGAAGCAGCAGAGCAGGACCCGACGCTCAGCTCTTTGCTCTCCTGCCAGGATAAACAACGAGGCTGCAGAGCTGTGGAGCGCAGCGGAGAACAGATTAGCCTCTGTTAGGCGCACACACAGACACACACACACTCAAGAGGGCCTTCCCACTAAAAAGACACTTTAACAACTCATCGTGTGAGGCCGGATCGTTTTCAGTCAAACCGTTCTTCTTTTTTTTTTTTAATAAATGAACGATAAAGAAGCAGATGCTTTAATTCTACTCTACAAATTAAAAAATGTTTAGTTTTTTTACTTCAGAAATCTTTTGGGATAAAGTTTGCTTCTAAAAGGTGATTTACATGTTTTAATCTGTTTTTCTAATCAATCTTAAATTAAAACTTAATTTCTCATTTTAGTAAACTATAATCCAACTCGTTTTGTTTAGCAGTTAATGTTGGAGTTGAAAGATTTGTTTATGACATTTTTCATCTTAAGCAGACTTCGTGTCATTTTAGCTGATCATAAATCAAAACCTTCAGCTCATTCAGCCAGCATATGTGGCTGCTATGATCGTTCGGCTTTTGTAATTTTTCATCATTTCAACTCTTCGTTAAATGAGAAAAATCACCATCAAAAATACAGATCTCTCCAAACCTTTTAAAAAACGTTATATATGAAATCTGCTTCAGCTTTTGTTTGTTTTTGTATTTTTATGCTACTTTTAGATCTAAGCTAGAATTCTGCTTCTAGCAAACCATCTCATACATTTAGCTATCTTTGTTATTTTAGCTTTTAGCAAGTGTCTTTTGCAGTATTTGACTTGTGCCTTTCGCTTTATTAGCTCTCCCCCCTTTTTTTTTGGTTTTATTTTGTTTTGCTATTTATAGCCAAAGTTTTATTTCATTAGACAGACGTTTGGTACTTTAGCTTTAAGTTAGCCTTTTGCACCTTCTAGCTTTGTAGTTAGTGTTTTGCTATTTTTAGCCTTTGAGTTAGTAGCTTGTACTTTTGAGCTTTTAGCTTGCACTTCGTTTCTTTTAGGCTTTAGATAGTGTTTTGCTACATTTAGCTTTTAGCTTGCATTTTGATACACTTATGCGGTCTTTCAGTGCTTTATCTTTTAGCTAGCCTTGTGGTACTTTAGCTTTTTACTAAGCTATTGATAATTTTAGCTACACTTCTGCTGCTTATACAAGCTTTTTGTTACTTTGAACTTACAGCTTGTGTTTTGATACATTTAGGCAACCTTTCAGTACTTTAAATTTAAGCTAGCTTTTTGGTACTTCAGCTTTGAGCTAATGTTTTGCTACTTCTAGCTTGCCTTCTTCTACTTCTACCAAGCATTTTGTGCCTTTGAACTTATATCTTATTGTTAAACTTAGCTTTGTAGCTAGTACTTGCTGTTTTTAGCTTTTAGTGGTCCATTAGCTTAACCAGCTCAGTTTGCAAATATCAAATATTAGCTCCAGATTTGAAACAATGACCAAGTTTTAGACATTTTTGTGTTTGCTATGATGAATAGATGTGGTGGCCATCTTGTGGCAGCCATCTTGAATCTGGTTGATTCCAAAAGGTATTCAGTTGTAGACGTACATCCAACAATAACTTTCGAAGAGTTTCACTACAATTCATCCAGTAGCTCCTGAGATATTTTGCTAACAAAAAAACAAACGTCGGACAAGTGATTACAAGATCACCCGCATTTCATGGGCGATAAGAAAAGCCAACTATAAAATTGTAGTAAATCTAAGCGTAGTTACCTGCGTTCTCATCGTAGTCTTCATCGTCACCAGATGACAGTGAATCTAGAAACAAACAAAAAAAGGTTAAATAACAGAATAATGCTTAAATTTAATTCAAGTTTATTTGTTTATTTCTGTATTTTTTTACTAAACAATTGTTTTTATTAGAATTTCTTCAGAAATAATTTATTTTAGGTTCTGAACAGCTGGGATATTTGTATTTAGAAAGAAGCAATTACAAGCAGGAGGTTTGTGTTTTCACAGATTTGTACATTTCACTTGACGGATCAGAGAGAAAAATCCAGAAGGGTCCAGTTTTCTGTGTTGACCCTCAAACATTAGAACCAAAATGTTTCTAGAGACGATAGAAATGGGAGGGCCGTTAGCTGTCCATTAGCATTATTCATTCAACTTTTATTTATACAGGTTGATCACATTGAGCCTCGGGGACTCATTTACAAGAGACACCTGATTTCTTAAAGAGTGATGACAACAGTGAGTAACAAGGACAACAATAGACAGTCACAAAAGAGGCATACAAAATTGAAATCTCGTCATTGGCAACTTTTCGTTCTCGGCTATTAGTCTACCTCTTTTAGCTTTCAGCTGTCGTGCAGCTTTGGCCTTTCAGCTAGCATTTGGCATGGGTTTTTTTTTGTTTTGTTTTGTTTTTAGCTTCCCTCTTGCTACTTTTAGCATGCTCTCTGCTACTTTCAGCTAGCCCATTGCTGCTTTTAGCAAGTCTTCTGCTACCCATAGCTATTTTAGCAAGTTTACTACATATTTAGCTAGCTCTTTGCAACTTTTAACTAGCTTTTAGCTATGTTTAGCTTTTAGCTGCTCTTTCTTTATTTTTATATTTTGACTGATCTTTTGTACAATTAGCTTCCAGCCATTATTCTGCCTCTTTTTACTTTTAACATGCCTTTTGATACTTTTATCTTTCAGCAGATTTCAGCAATAGTTCAGCTTAGAGTTCACACAGCTTCTGCAGTTTTTTTAGTATTTTTCTGTGGTTAAAACAGCTGAACAGCAATGGACCATTACCTGTGACCCTGACGGTGAAGTTGCTGAGCAGCAATTTGGTCCGGGCCAGCCAGCAGGTGTAGACCCCAGAGTCCTCGTACGACACGTTGACGATGCGCAGGACCCTTTGGCCAATAAGCGTCCGGTTGCTCTGCACGACTCCAGCGCCATCTTTGAACCAAACGACGGGGTGCGGGGGGCCGTCCAGGTCACATGGTATGTCCAACGAGTCCCCCATGCCCAGGACGTAGTCCTCCTGAAAGGCCGCCTCGCTGGACACCAAATCTGCAGAAACAAGAGAAAACGTCAGTTTACCGACCTAAATGAAGCACAGCCTTGTCGTTAGTTGTTAAAGGAAATAAAAATAATGAACGTATTAAAAGTTGTGAACTCTAAGTTGTAAAAAACAAAAGATACATTTATAAAACCATAAATCCGTCAGAATGGGACAGAAAGTCAGCGGAAAAAAGAAAACGTAATTTCACGTAAACACGACAGTCAGTTTGATTGTTTTCAAACAGTTTGCTGCAACAAATTACGCAACACACACAAACACACACGCCTGCCTGTGGGAATTACTGAGTATTCTGAGTGTGATTTACTGCAGCGATCACGCCCAACTGTGACTGACAGAAAGGACAAAAACACCACTGAGCACCTGAATGCATCACAGACACGCTCAAACTGACACCAGGAAAGAACGACTCTGAAGCTTCAGCTGTTTGAAGAGATGACTAAACGCTGGAACGAAACACAAAAAGCGTGCTTTGATTTATAGATGAGCTACTCCGCTGTAAACATGTAGACATTTTGTTTGTTTTGGACAAGAACCAACAGGCAGTACTGACAGTTACTTCAAAAACACTAAAAAACTCTTGAATAGTTTCAACAGAACAAATGATACTTTTAGTTAACCTTTTGCTGCTGGTAGTTTTTTGATATGTTTAGCTTACTTGTTGCTATTATTAGCTTTACACTTGCGTTTGTCACTTTGAGGATTAGCTTTTTAATACATCCAACATATTGATAGCATTATTAGCATTAACTCAGCCTTTCGTTACTTTAAGCTTCTACCTATTCTTTTGCTGCTTGATGGAGATTTTTCTCATTTTTATCACTTTTCACATTTGACTTCTACTTTGATATTTTGGGCTTTTAGCTAGTACTTATCTACTTTTAACTTTAGCAAGTCTTTTGTTTTTTTGTTTTTGTTGTTTTTAGCATCAAGCTAGTTTTTGCTTTGTTTAGCATTTAGCTAGTCTTTAATTTTTATTTATTTATAGCTGTTCTTTTGCTCATTATCATTTGCTTTTTATTTTTATTTCTTTAACTTTTTCATCCATGCTTTGACTAATCTTTTGCTGTGCTTGGCTTTCCATTTTTATTTAGCTTCTTCGTGCTTCTAGCTAGTATTCTGCTCCTTCTGGCTGAGTCACACTGTGATAACTACCAGATCATCAGATCACATTTATCGTTGTTTATAGGGTTTGATCAAAACAACTAAAACCCAATAAGACAGTAGTTCAGAATTCATAAAAGGCGGCGGGCGATAAGCATTCCTTTAAGAAAAGCTCTAATTCACTTGGTCTTTACTCACCCATTAAAAACAGTAGAGATCCTAAATCAACAATGGAGGGCTGCGTTGTGGTTTCTGGCTCCGACAACCAAATTTACAACCGTTTTTGGTCAAACAAAAACCTCCAGTCACAAGAAGAAAAACACTGAGACGGTCGAGAATAACTTCAAGTCCAACACGAACAAACCCTGCCTTTGTTAACGACTGTGAAGGAAACGGGAGCGCATGAGCAGCAGGATATCTTCACGTCAACACGAGAAATTAGGGTTCAAAAGACGAAAGGAATTGTGTGAAAGAAGCAATGCTTACTTTGGACTTTACAGACCCCCAAGAACCGTCTCAACCTTCTCTGACATGAAAACCAAGAAGAACGAAAGGTGAATAATAAAAACCATTACATTTGCTGCCAGTGGCTCTTTATAGTAACCAAACACCTGTTTCTCTGCATTCAATAAGACAGTCAAACAAAAAATTGCAGACTGAAAATTAAGCCTCAAATGTTCTCTGCGCAATAACTAAAAGCCATTGTAAAGAAATCCTTCAACAGTCAGCGACAGGAATGAGCTTCCTTCGTATTGGCCTCAAAGAGAGGATGAGGAGCTCAGAGTAGAGCTGCTGCTGCTACTTTTAATCGAAAGGAGTCGGCTGACGTGGTTCATCTGCCTCCCTTTGGAGGTTTATTTAAACGGGGACACTGGGGCAGACCCACAACTCTGTAGGGATTATACATCGTCATTAGTCTGGGAACACCTTGGAGTTCCCCAGGAGGTGCTGAAAAGTCTCTGGGAGGGAGGTCTGGGTTCTTGTCCCGGATCTGTTGCCTAGGCGATCCGGCCACAGATAAGCGGTAGAAGATAAAGATCGGCGGTGGTGTCTTGAGGCGTACGGTTCATCGACCACAGCCCAGCTAATCTGCACTTTGTGATTTTTCAAACTGAGTTCATATTTTTTTGGTTTTGTTCAGGGTCAGAAACAGAAAGTAAAAGTTAAAGGAAGGTTCCTGTGGGTCCACCACCCAAAAATAAGGCTATAAGTGAAACCCTTATTCACATTTATTACCACCTGGAAGCGTCTCAGTTCTCTGTTCTGCTGAGCCGGGTCAGACCCAGATCAGGAACTCCTCTCTGACTCCCCTACATGAGTATTACTGCTCAAGACCAGACTGTTTTCACGCCTCTGACCTCATATTACTGGCTTTTGAAGACAGTGCAGCTCCTACCCGAGCCATTGGATACACCCGGGTCGAGCAGAATTTTAATTGAGAGCAGCTTCAAATCTGCATTTCAAAGATGGAAATCTGACGTAGGAATAGATCTTTAAAAAGGAGGGCTTATCTTCTGCTGTTCTTTAAAGCTCGTCGGATGTGTCGTTTTGGTCGTTCTGTACGGCGCATTTATTTCTGCTCTGACAGCAAAAACATCAAAGTGGAGAATAATACTCATTTGTTTTATTAAGATCAAAGGCAAACAAATACAAGAAAATGTACTGCCTCCCTGTTAACCAGTGCTAATGAAATGTAAATTTTAATTTAAAAGGTTAGAAATCTGAAGACTGAAGAGTCCTACCGCTGAAGCATTGAAGAACCGTTATTACTGTTCTGTTGGTTTTTCTTTCTGTTTGTCACGATTTTGTTTCACTGCGTGAAAAAAAATCATCAAAACGTGGCTTGACAGGGAACAGAGAGCTTGTTTTTGCAATACATCATTCAATGTAGGCAAAATATGCTAAAAAAAAAAAAACTGAGCAGAATTTTCCCATAGACAACCATGGAATTTTGGCAAAACGAAAGAGAAAACCCAGCCGTCTTTGGCGCTCTACAGCTCTGACGTGCGTCGCAGTAGAAACATTTAAAATTTAAACGGGTCTCAGAAAGTTGGATTATACATGACTTCACTGCTGTTTTGACATCTCTTAGAGTTTTAACATAAATCACGGTTCAAATCTTGTGATTTTGGGAGATTGAACCACCGAATATTCAGTATGGTGTCTAAATTTATATTCTAAGTTCCACAAACTTTATATTTCCTAAACAACTCATACATAGAAACGAAGATATGTTTGCCTTCTTTTACGTAGTGCGTCTCTCGCTGGTATAGGACAGTTGGTTTTCTTTCAAATCCACTTGAAGTCCACAAAGATCACAGTCAAGAAGCATCCAGGTAGCATCCTAATCGAATGAACCACCTCAGCTGACTCTTTTCGATGCAGAGGCTCTACTCCAAGCTCCCCCCGATGATGGAGCTCCTCACCCTCTATGCACCCTGTATACTCCATCCAAAGCCGCAAAATCAGCTCTCTTTGACGTAGTTGCTTTATGAATATGGCATACTTTTGTTCTTATAGTAGCTTTGCCCTCCCCTTCTTGACACAAGGCTCAGGCCAAACTTTTTCTCATAGACGTATGGGTCAAGTATTGTGTGACTGGTCAGATTTGTGGGTGTATTTGTTAATGCAGAAAAGTGCTCAGATATTCAGCTGTGCGACTCCTCAAGACACACCAAGACAGTCAAATAGCCCAAAACTCCTGGACTGAGATGCCACAAACTTTGTGCATGGAGGAGACTGTCTGCTGAAGTGTGGCGCTTTCTTCATTACAGAGAGACGTGGCGGGAAAAAACCTGTGCCATGATGTATATGGTAGTGGTCGGGGATTCCCAGGATCCCTGCAGTTTTCTCATGAACTATGAAAGGTGTGTGCAAGAGCAAACGTCCTGCAACCACGTGCCAGCAAGTCATCTGCTCGGCTTCGAATGAAGTATGCAATGCGCTTAAAGCCGAGTCCCCCCACCCTATGAAGGAAGATCATTTCAGCTGCTTGGATCCAGGATCTGTTTAAAAATATTTATCATGATCCAAACCTGATGACCACAGGTGAGGGTTGGAACATTAAAAGACCAGTAAATCCAGAGATTTACCTTTCAACTCAACTCCTTCTTCACCACGGACAACCAAAACAGCGCCCTCATTACCGAGTAGGCGACCTCGATCTGTCGACCAGTCCTCCCACTACATCACTCATGAACAAAACGCCCAGATAGTTCAACTCCCCCACCTGAGGCAAAGACTAAATCAACATCTCAATGTTCTCTCTGTTCACAGCATGTGGGAGCTGTCTACTTCCTGGGGTGTTTATGGACCTAACAGTTCTCTAAGGGCTCTCGGATGATTATTAGGACTGTTGGTTCTACATTGTGGACCTAAGTGTTAGCTTTTCGTCATTAGTGGTCAATGCAGCCACGTCCCTGCACGCATCGTTCACCTCCAACTACAAAGACTGTGGAGGATAGTGTAGCCAGAGCTAGCCGTCTGTGGAATAATGACTAGCCAAGCCGAGTTGAAGTGGCATAGACAAGAACTTGTGAGACCAGTCAACGCTGTGCTGCTTATCTTCCAAGGGAAGCACAATGTCGTAAGACGAAACTGTGATTTTAGCACGTAGCATCTTCTGAGCTGATAAAAGAACCAAGAGTACACCTTACCAACAGGATTAATCCCCTCCAGCCTGAACCTGGAACAGCTTGAATCAATGTCATGCACTTTTGAGGGCGTGTTATAAATAAGATTGTGTGTGTTCATGTGGACGATGCTTCCATAAATCAAGAGACCCGTGCCCTCCCTGCCCCTCCTACCCTTTCAGACCCAAATCATAACAAATAGCCCTTCAGCATAAGATAAAGTCTGTCTTTGAGGTACAGGGCTGCGTTGTCTG